ACTCGCCACTTTCGGATTGCGGGACATTTTTGGGACACCCTGTATATTGATGAATTTCCAATGGACAACAGAGCTCTACAATCTCAATAATTATAAAAAAAATATGTGAAACCGATTAGTCTGACCGATAGGTTTAGCATAAAAGAATCCTCTGACGACCTAACTATAACACTGTGACTGTCATACCAACCAACCGCGAATAACCGAATTATTTGCTCAGATCTAAAACTGAATTTATACTCTAATTTAGTATATCGTCCTAATTTGATTAGGTTCCACCAAATATAAGAATGTTGAAATTTCGATGTCGTGTAACTTTGCAATTTTCATTCGACGAAACAAAAGACTTGAACTTTAGACAATTTTTGAGCTGGTTGGCGTGAGTGTTGAAAAGTCGTTCGCTGGTCGAACACGATCAAAAATGTTTCCACGAAAATTGTTCGATTGAGATAGCAGCATGAGGAACATGCCGGTGCTTAAACATTCGATCAAAGAGCATGGCGGCTTCAAGGGAGCGGTCGATCAAGAGGTATTAGAGAACGGAAGCGTTGACCATCGACGCCGGAGTTACCTGCGATTGATTGATCATCGAGGACGAGACACCGGCTGGAAGATCGACGAGCCTGTGCCGCGTGGAGGATTCGGAAACGCATCCGACAGCCTCGTTTCCGGGTCTATTCAGCTCGGCCTTGACGTTCACCTGGGTGTGCTGCGGATCGGCGACCAGGACGCTGACTTTCTTCGACTCGAATACCACCTAGAACGACTACGCGTCTGCCTTGAGGCCAACATTCCAAGAATTCGATGATCCCGGCAGGTTCGGAGGACCCATTCGATCGTTTACCTGATTCGGTACGATCTTCAGGTTGCCGCTGGGCGTCGACTGAAACGGGAACACCCGATTCGAGCCGTCGCCACCGTCGTTCACGCTGATGAATGCACGGTTGTCGCCTCGTTCCTGCGGACACGCGTGCATCTGATGCATCAGGTACGCCAAGTTAGGGTAGACGGTTTTGTTTCTCCGCGGTTTGTCGTCGCCTTTTCCTAAGCTGCGAAGTGCCGACAGAATCGTAAACCGGATCTGTTAAAAGTTCGTTCCAGTTCGACGACAGTCGACGCCGCGTTTTGCTTTAGAACGTTAGGTTAATTATAAATCTGTGGTGGTTAGTAGGACGGTCGTCATAAGATATAGCCGAGCGCAATCGGGTTGAATTTAGAGCTCGTTATACGCCCCGGGCAATAACTGATTAATGCCACTGTCGGGCACTATCAAACGCCAGGGCTGATGACTATCGAGCGCCTATAATTAACAGCTATCAACCTCTCTAATTAGAGACACTTCGATTTTACGGCGGGCCTCGTGATTCGCCGGGAAATAAACACTATTTGACTCGCGATAAACGGTAACACTCGGTATCAAACGCTGTTAAGTTGCGCGAGTCTCGTTGTTTATGGTTCGATAGTTCTCTGTATCAAACGGAGGCACTATTATGTCATGCAAATTCAGATATGATCACTTTTGATGCGTTCTTTAAAGCAGCACAGGTCGGGATATCGTTTGCAATTGCATAGTTCCTGGTTTAAAATATAAGAAACTTTGGAACGAATTCAAATGTTTGACCAGAAGGTTCCTTCTAGCGGATTAATACTGAATCTACCACGATTTCAAGACTGTTGACACAATAAAGATTTGTCCTTAATCGAAATTTCATAATTCTACTCTACGTTGCGGCGATGAAAGTGGCGAAATGTCGACAATCTTTTCATTCTTACGAAGCAACGCACATCTGTCGCTTTGAATTCTCGATGGGTTTAGCGTTGAAAGCATTAATATTATCGCCGAAAATGCGCAAAAATCGGTCTCCGAAACTTGCAGCGTGTTACCTGAAGCGGGCCATTAGCTTCGAGACGGCATTATTCAAGGGACGACATCGTTCCCCGCGCGTTTTATCGATCAGCCGGTGCTTATCGGATCTCCGGGCCTGATCAGGATCATCCGAGTCGTCCTCTTGACAAGAAGCGGAGCTCGACCTAATCAAATTTTTCGCAGACTTGGCCGAATATCTGGTCGGATCGGGTCTCCGTTCCTGCGCCTCTTTGCCCGTGACACGGCGGCGATCCTTGGACAAGGAGCCGGCCTCGGCCCTCTCCCGATAAATGTGCGCGAGTGGTCCACGCCGCCTCGATAAACGCCGACGACGTCTCAAAGTAGCTTGTCCTCGGTCGATCGGATACACGGGGCCCCGCTCCGCCGAGCTCGATCTGCGAGAAACGGAACAATCGGATTTCTCGTTGCGGAAATTCGATGAAATTTTTACGCAACAAGAAACCCCCGGCCCGTCCGGATCGATGATAACACCGGGCGGGAATGCCTTCGAAACTTCCGATTTAATTGGTTTTGGGAATATAGATTCCTCGGCGGGAAGTCTGCCGGGCGTTTTCCGTCTGCTGGACAGAAACTTCCGAGCCGGGAAATATTGATTTTACACGAAGAAAAGTACCGGGGCTACGAGGAAACTCGAGGCTACCAATCAACGAGCTACGGGGGGGCACGTCGAAATTTCTCGGATACAAAATTCGGCCGGCTAATTAAGCAGCTGTTTTGCCAGCTTGTCAGTCGGGAGAACGAGTTAACTCGTTCATTCGATCGGCGCAGTATTGTTCCACGCTGTAACTTGTTACAGCAGCGTTATACAGACTTTAAGAGACCAATTTCCGGAAGTTGGGAACATGTGCTTTGTACATTCTAGCAAGTGTTTCCCCGGGTTTTAAATTAACTGCGGAACTCGTTAAACTGCCGGTAAATACTTGCAGCACTGACATCGAGTTTGTTATAACTAGACTGATTTTTATGCAAAATAAGAATTTGTCGAGCATCATCTGTATTCCCAAATACAGAAGCTGCGTAAAAATATTCTTTATTTCGTTAACGATTTCAATAATTTGGAATTAGTAGAAGTACCGTTGTATCCTCAAATCTTGTTATCTTTTCATCGTTTAAAATTTTACGCAGCGAATTTTGTGATAAATGCACAAAATTCACGGTCTAGTTACCGCGAATAATTTAATCAAGTATTTTCCGGTGTCCTAACGTGGCTGTTAGAGAATTATAATTTGCATGGACCTTTCACGAGCTTCGTTCAAAATGGCACCGTGGCACGAGAACGACGACTATTAAATAATTTCTCGAGCAAAATTTCGCCGCGAAAGGAGGAAGAAGGTGGTCAGCTCGACCAGGAATGACCCGGTTACGATTGAAGACGTAGGGGCCGATCGATCGCGATTCACCTGTCCTGGTGCACGTTCTCGATCAGCGATTGGCTGGCATCGTGAGCGACGGATCGTTCCGATTGACAGGCTCGAAGAGCAGGCTCCGGGGATGCTGGTTTCCCGTGGTACAGAACGACTACGCTGCTTTTGCTGTTCCCGGGTCGCGGACGTTCCGTCGATTCCGATCGATTCTCCGCTATGGCTGCGGACGTCCTGGGATTAGATCGGCGTTCCTCATGCTCACGAGGACCAGCCGGGTCCTCGAGCTGCCCGGCCCGGCCCGGCCCGCCCCGACCGAACGCGAATTATTATCCCCCTTGTGCAGGAGCAGATAGGCCAAGAGGAACATCGCGACGAGAAGCAAATACATGGAGTCGCGTAATCGAATTTATGGGTCTCGGGGACCACCGGAACATGGGCTGGCTGTGAACAAAGATGGGCAACCGTTGCCCATCTTTGATTCATAGGGTAATCATTCTATAATTTTCGTTTTATCGCAAGATTGATATTCATTCGTTTGCCCATCTCTGACTACGGCCTCCGTTTCTAACAAGCAAAACCGTCCGAGCTGGAAATTGCTTTTTGGAAGAGAGTATCTCTAAATCTTGTAACACATGTACCCACATGGAACAGTTCAATGTTCTTTATCAAAGCGGGCCTTCGTTTTTGAGGAAAATTAATTTGAAGTTTTTCGGGTATAAAGCGCTTATTTATCTATTTGCCTTATGTAGATAAACAAATAAAAGAGAGATCCATTTATGGGAGTTTCTTATACGTGTTTCGAAGAATACAAAAAAATTTGTCTTAGTCTCTTTTTTCATAGTTGCAAGCTCTCAGGAATTCTGAAGTAAAAAGTTTTCTTATCATCCAAAGAAGTCGTCGAAAAATTGGGCAAACTCAAAAATTGTTAACCATGCATTATAATAACTAGACTATGGATCTTTATGCAAGATAAACAAGTCAATTGTGAGAACCATTAGTCAGACGAAAATAAGTCTTTCCTCTTTTAATAATTTTAACGAATCGTAATATAATACAAAAATATTCTCAAACTTTTCAATCTAGTAATTTTTGTCAAAAACGCATCAAATTCGCAGACAATCAATAATTGCAATGTGTCGAAAATAATATAACAGCATCCTTAAATTATTCCAACATTTTTATAGTCTTGCATTTGACTTATTTATAACTTTCTCGTAAATGCATAAAATCTGCAGTCAAATAAGAATTTTTTAACACTAAACCTACTGCGCCGGTCAAAATGACCGGTTCCATGTTTCTTATTTCCTTTGATATCTCTATTATAGCCTTTTCGCTATAATGGCTCTAATTTTGTCAGATATTGCCACTTTTATAAAGCATCAGTCGCTTCTAGAGGTCGGCAGATTTAGTGTTAAAAATCCGCAAGTCAACGATCTGACAAAACCTGAAGTTCTGTGGATTTTCCAAACGTTCCAAAACGGTAGCAGACAAACAAAAGGATCTCGATAATGGAACTTACCCTTCTTGCTGTTTCGACGGATCGCCCGTATAATTCGCGGCGTGCTGTTCCTATCGGCGCTGTCGAAGAAGAACATTAACAGCCGTTAGAATGATGATAACGGGGCTGCGGGAAAGCGCGCGTGACCTGATAAAATTGCCGGTTAATTACCAAAGTTTCGGGATGGCTTTGCTCTCGGAAACCCCGCCGCCGCCGCTGGAAGAGTTGCGCACAGCGAAAGTTACCTGCGGCTGGAAAATAAGATAAAGGTGCGAAGATTGTGTCGGACCGATATCCTTTCATCGATTCGCCGCGCTGTCCCGGTTTCCCGCGTCGAATGAACGCGATAGGATTGTTCGAGAGCCGGCGCGGCGTCGCGGAAAACGAGTTCCCGATGTTAAACAATTTCGACGCGCGCCCGGGCTTTTTCATTCCGGCGATTTTTCCACGGAAAAGTGTAACGTGTAACGCGAGCCGACGTAAATAGAGGCTCGCGAATCACGGCCACGCCACTGTTGCGCTCCCGTTGCCAATTCACGATGACAGGCCGGCGTTATTTCGCAACAAAAGACTAGCCGTTCGAGATCTTCAAGCTGTGACGCGCGCCGGGCTCTCGACGGGATTGTTTTCGAAAAACTGGATCACCGCGCTTTTTCCAACGATCCGATGATGTATCGATAGCGTGGCTCGCTTCGTTCGGTGCTCGATGAATTACCTCATGGCTTTTTTTGCTGTTGTGACAGGGCAGGTGCTGGAGACTCAATGGCCGTTGTCCCTTGAGGTCTTTATCTGTTGCTTGGGTTACTGAAACGTGGAATCAGTTAATTCCACAATTGTTATCTCGCCGTGGAATTTATGGGTCTGATAATCTAGTAGGAGAACACGTTTATGTTACAAAAGCTGTTTTATAATAGCGGTGTGCGTAATTATGAACTCAAAGTAACTTACCGCATCTTCACTGATATTTAAACGAGATCTCCAAAACACTATATTTGAATATTTCTATTTTCTATTATTTCTTACACAGAAATATACAAATATATCTTGTCAAGTTTTTATTCAAATATCACGAGAAATGTAAAAGTTACTTTGAGTCTATAATTGTTCACACCACTGTGTATCGGTTCACGTTAGATTAGCGAAAACACCTCTCATAGTTCAGAAAGACATTTCGATCTCAGTGGGACAGTAATTTTTAAATTGTGTTTTTATATGAGATTTGCGATAAATTTAAATATGTGTTTTTGAATGAGAAAATTGGTAACAATTTAGATAGTTTCCGTAACTTGAACGTGCTTGCAAAAATAAGTACAGATGATTTTTGCGTTATTTTCGCGATGTTTAAGAACTGTTTGGAGTGTATAAGACTATTTGGAAAATGAGCTATAAATGTTTTAGACACTGCTAACACTTACATCACTTACGTAATTTTATTTCGACGTGATCGTAGCTCGCGAAACAGCGACGCCGATTAAAGGTTCTCTCAGGCTCCGCGAGACGATTCGACAGATTACTTCCGGTGCACTTTACAGTAGGCTGATGACACGCTCCCGGGTTTGTTTTCGAATGCCTGACGACAGTGAGAATGACACTTATAAAATCACTAGAAATCTCAGAAAACCCTGTCTTTTAAAACTGGTAAAAATTCGCGAAGAAATTGGCATTCGTTCTATTGTGTGGCAAACCATTTTGTACCTCGTCTTCAGCAAATCGAAGTCTGAAGAAACGTAAGATTCGTCGTCAGTGGATGCTGGCGTTCTAAATCCCTCCTGGAAATGTAGAATTCCAATTAAGCGATGTTTCACGTAATTGTTGAACGTTGATACGCGGTATTTTTTCGGAAATGCCGTCACGTTTAATTAAGGATACCTAAACGCAAGGTGCAGACTAATCTGCAATCAATCTAAATTAACGCGAACCAATTTTTACAGTCTCAACAGCAAACGCTGACCATAAAGTTAAAAGAAGTGGACCATACAAATAATACTTGCAGGCGTGCAATTTATAGCACGTTCATCAAAGAGATTTATGTGAAAAATGTGTCCATGTCAAGGTATCGTTGGAAATCCAACCATACTCACGTCATAACGCGTAAAACCTTTTCGCATGGTCCGAATCGCATACGTTCAATAAAGATCCACTGTGAGCACTGGCATCATAACCGAACGTTACTATCTCACTTCCGTCGCGTGGCCGCGAGTAAAAAGCTGCTAAAAATATAGGATGTAGAAACCGGCGGTTTGACGTTTAAAATGACCGGGGCATTTGCAATTAAAAAAAAAAAGAGAGAGAAAGAAACAGGTGACGAGTAGGGGCGACAAAAATACGTGAAACGGAACATGAGACAGACGATAATGAAAATTGTACGGTAATGCCATCTGACGGAGGATTACACAATTTTCTTGTTAAAAAAAGCTGTTCGAAACACGAGGTATTGAATATTTCGCTGCAAATTGTGCTCCCATAATGCTGCAAGATGTCACAAAGAAGCCAGACCAAGACGTGTTAAAATTTTTCATCTAAATACAATGAACGGTTTATTTGTTAAAATTAAGCATGCAAAAGGGCGCAAAAAGAGCTCTCGAAGTAGCATAAAAATTGTTTGAATCTTTTAATACCGAATTTTCTGCGAAGCTGATGAAAAAGCTTAAGAAAATACTGAACGAACGAAGATCAATGTTCGCTAAAATAAATCGTCCTGGATAAGATATTTCGATGTTAATTGCGCATAAAATCCGCAGTCCGGTAATCGCACAGTAAATGGCTCCACTATCCCTAAGTATCGACGATCTCGCGACGCAGTCGATCGAGATTGATCGACGCGTGTTCCTGTCGGATGAACGGCGATTCGTGGGCGTCGATGCCCCGGGCAAACAGCTGATCAAAGTCGACCCCCGAATGTGGAGCATCCACGTGTTGAGCCTCGCCGGGTTCGAGCCCTGTGGGCCAGCCGAGCTTTTTGTTAAATGCAACGGGACGTAAATAGTGGCGTAATGAGCCGGAGGATCGTGGGGTCGGCTGCGGGAATCGGAGATGGCGGTGGTATTTGGGTTTCCAGCTTCCAGCGGAGGAGAAGGTCGCGGAAGATGGGTCGGCGGCGCGGCGCGCGGGTCGGAGCATAGAGGGTTGGAGCACAGAGGGTTGAAGCCGCCGAGGCTCTGGCGCTGGCTGGCGGGCTGAATCGATCGCTTCGGCGTCCTGGTGACCTCGACCTAATGCCACCCTCTTCTGCTCTTGAGCGGAACCCGCCTCTCCCAATCCCGCCGCGCTCCCTGAAAGCCACGGGGTCAGTTAGCACCCCCGTCAAAACACACAAAGCCCCGGGAACCAAGAGGGTGGCGGCCAACGAAGGGATTCGAACACCGAGCACCCCGTTCGACTACGAAACTGTCGCACGAGCTTTTGAGACATTGAATTAAACTGCTCGTTTGTTCCGGTCAACGGTTCCCTCTCTCTTCCTCTCCCTTTCCCTCTCTCTTCCTCTCCCCTTCCCTCTCTCTCTCTCTCTCTCTCTCTCTGCCTCTCCCTATTTCTCTCTTCCTCGCTCTCTGTAAGTCGAGTTCCGCGTAATCCGACGCCCGGGCTCGGCTTTTGTTAGACAATGGTCTCTGAACCGATACCAAAGGCAACCTATCTGCTGTTCTTCACCTATTAGAACCACTCTATGCTACGCCTTTGTCAGAATTCTACTAGCAGTATTTCTACTATCTACTAGCAGAAAACTATTTCTTCTAGATTTGTCTTCTGAAATTATATTGGGTTTTTATATTTTACCAATGTGTACATTAGGGTTTATAGAGAGAAGAAGATAACTGAAGCAAATGTGGAACAGTAAAAATGTTCAGTAATTCTACTACATTGTCTCAGTTGTAATGATTAAATTCCAGATCTTTATGCAATAGATTTCTAGACAATACAAATTATCTAAGTTTCTTGTAGGAAATATAATTTAAGTGAAAGTGTCTTCCATCTTTTCACCCTCTTAGTGCCGAACAATTATGTATCGTTGTCGACTACCCTTGAGAAAATGTTATTTTCTTACAATGAAGAACATTAATGAACAACAATTTCGTTTCTTATTTCTTCGTCATTTTCGAATGTTCTATTCATCAGATTTCACAAAACTTTCGTAACTGCTTTTTCCGATACTTTACGAAACCGCATCAAGTAGCTTTGGTACATCAATTTATAATAAAATTATTAAACTGCGCATCTCGCACGCTTCCTCGGAATGATCATTGGCCAGCCCGGCCGAGGAGCGTCGCTCCTAATTGTTATTAAAGCAATCGTCGCATTTCCGGCAGGCGTCAGAATGCAGAGGAGGGGACGAGGACGGGGAGGAGTCAGAATATCGATGGCCACTAATTTTTTCCGATCGAGTTTCATTGGGCGGTAACGAGTCCCAGCTCGTCGGCGGTTCGCGTTCGTTACCGCGGGCTTCGGGTATCGACCTGGGGCGCGATTGTTCGCGGGCACGAATTCCTGGTCAGTGCGTCCGAGCTGGTGGCAGACAAATATCTCTGCGGAGGAATGCCCGCGCGGCATGCGGCCGATTCCCGTCGTGTCAGCGAAACGGGAATTACCGCGGAAACGAAACACGAGAAACGAGCCTAATATTGCGAGCCCCGGCTTACAGGCGGACGAGATATTAAGTGCCGCGCAAACCGCCACGAGGCCGGAGCCGGCGCAATAAGCCCGCGAAACTGACGACATTATTGCGGCCGGGCTCATTTGCCTCAGTCATCTTGTAGGCTGCATCAGGATCTTTATGCAGATGGGGGTTGAAAGTAACGGGGGGCGATAGTAACCTCGTAAATAATTTTAAATCTAGTACAGATATTGTTGCAAATACTTGATATATTCTGTGGAACTACTATTTCGAAATCTACGCTGTTCTTTTAATTATATAGATATGCAATTAACATGTGAGCGGGTTAGAATCATAGCGGCGTAAGTCACATTTTTTTCATTGTGAGAAAGAGGGAGCGTTGTTGTTTACTAACATGTACATCGTTCACTGATCAAATATACTGTTAAGATAATTTTAAGTTAAGTTAATTCGTAGTGACTTTATCATTTTTTTCATCCGTATTTTTAACATTTTGGCGTGTACAGATTAAATTTTAAGACATAAGACAAAATTTACGAAAATGTCGCTTGTGCCACTACGATTCTAACCCACTCGCAACTAACATTTTCTTAAAGGCTTAAAATTGTGATCATGTACAAGTAACGTTTCTTTTCTGTCTGGCAATATTTATTAATTTTTAACCACAACGCGGCCAAGAGTATATTGTTCTGTCGATTCTCCTTCGTAATCAAGTAGGTTACTCATCGTGACTTCTAACTACTGCTTCTTTTTTAAATTGTGAATTCGTTGTTTATTTATATCTACAGATTGAAGCGTTGCTAATTCAGTGCGAATTTTACAAACCGGATCTCTATAAAGTATACAAATTATCCTAAATAAAATCCATCCTTTTCCGACCAACTTTACGCATTGAAGTAAACGAGGATACGTAGAGTACATAAAAATAGTAATGTTCTTGTTGTATTAAAAAATTAAAGGAAGCTTTAAATCGTGTGAAACACTGTCAGTGCTTCCAGCCGAACGCAACTACCGAGTTGTTTTTAAAAAGCGGAGATCTCTGCAGGGAATGCGAAGAACTTACCATTACATCAGAGACCGAAAATAGCAAGCATTATGTTAAACTGGAACTTTTCAGTTTCGGTTTCACCGCGGAACTATTCCGATTTTATGGAACCTCTTCGGCATCGCGTGATTCGTCATGGAGAAGTTCGAAATTGCCCAGGTTTTTCGCATCTTGACCCAGTTCTCGGCCGGCAATCCACAAGTTCGATTTCCGGGCGATTCCCCTGGCACTGGTCTCTCATGGAAGATTGAACGTCTATTTCGTAATGCGCCCGGGGTCCGTTCGTAAACATTGTAGAACAGCGCTGAACAGCGTTTACTTTTTTTTTTTTCCTCCCGGCGCAAAGAGGACACGCGAGAGCGTGCCCGGTCTCATGAATATGCAACCGTCGACGGTAAATATGTAACCGCGTCCTTAATCAGCGCCGGGCGACGCGATTGATGCCGTTAACGCTGCCTCGTGGATAAAAGGCACGATTTTCATTGTACGAGAGATTGAACGGGGCCGATCACGCGGTGGTGGTCTCCTCTTTCTCTCTGACGGAGGGTGAAAGAGGGAGAAGAGAGACGGGGAAAGAGCTCTGTTGCCGAGGCGACCGTTATTGGATCGGCATGAATATGAATGCGGGACCGATCTGTCTGTCAATAATGATACCGTGTAATGGTAATAATGGTATCTATGAACAATGGAGTACCATCATTTCGCATGGTCAACGACGACCGGGTTGCGCCGAGCCCACGTCACTGGAACGCTCCCGGAATATGGAAGGTGTCGTCTTCCACCGCAATAATTCCCGTACAGCTATCGATTTCCCGCTGATGACGCTCTCGCATGCTGGCGGCAGGCATCGATGACCTGCTAATCGTATAATTGTTGACTATTTCATGGGGAGGGCGAGGGACTCTCGCCCGGGACCGTTTAGGGGTCATTTGACCCGGCAGACGCGGTTTCGGAGCTGCTCAGAAGAGGTCTCTTTCGGAACAAAGGGTCTTTTAGGACATTCCGGGGGATATCGGTGATCGTGCCAGTAGTCTCCTGTTGCGTTTACTGCGTCGACGTTGTCTCAACTAATGGAACTTGGCCACCCGGACTTGAAAATTATTATGACGCATTGACTGCGGACATGTTCCGCCGGAGGACTTGAGCGTGCAGCGGGCGAATTTCGTGGGAATTTAGTCGTTCGGTAAACCCGACCCTAATTCCACGGATCGCCGGGTACTTAGTACCTACTACGTGTCTCGCAACGGCTGGCGCCTAATTTTTACCGTACAACGCGCTTTAAGCGTATCCCGCTCTCTACAAACAGTATGCAAATGACGCGTGTAAGCGTCTCCCGCGAACAGCGTGATAATATCGATTCGAAACGGTCATAGAGTACCTTTATTTCGATCAACTATTTTTGAGAACCTGTAAGACTATTGTTTACAATTTAAAAGGTACAAAATGCTGATAATTATCCTGCGAATCTTTGTACAAAAAAAAATGAAAATTCCTTGTCCCCATTGCAACAAGTTGAATCCGAATAGATTTCTGTTTCGGTATATTTATTAAATCGAAAACAGTGTGGCAATGTTTCTCAATCTTTTAAATTTCGTTACTGGTTTCGTTAAATGTCCTTTCTGGCCATTCTTTCGCAAAAAGTGCACAAAATCCAGTCTACCGATAAACGAACAAGTTCGTGAACTTCTTTAAAATTCATCCTACTTTTATCCGTCATTCTATCATAATTTACAAATAATTGAGACACAGGCAAGTGTCACAGATAAGAGACACAGATAAAACAAACCTACGATAATTGTGATCTACGTAAAGAGTCGCCAGCACGAGTTGCAATCACGGCAATGCCAGAAAGAGCGAGGATTCGCTCGAAGATGACAAGACTTCATTCGAACTTCGTTCCACCGGTTCCAGGTTCCGCGGCGGCTGAAAAGACGATCCGAGGAGCGGCAGAGGTGGTGGGCCGTGGAGATGAAAGACAAATGAGCTATGGAAAAACATCGGGGGTAGCGGGATTGTCGGGCGGAGAGCTGTCGATGACGATAGAGGGGGATGCGGAGCGTAGTAGTGCGAAACGAGCGTGCATTCGAACAGGAACACGCTCCACTTTTGCTCCATTTGTAGGCGTGGGTGGGGTTGCGTGGCGGAGGGGAGCGGTACGGCACGGCACGGCACGGCGCGGGTTCTCCGTCAATGTGCTCGTCCGGAGAAAGAACGAGCAGAAATTTGCAGCCGAGTAGGCGAATCGGGGTGGCTGAATGAAAAGGAGACAGGAAACTGGAGTGAAGCTCTTAAAGGGGCGAGAAAAGGGAGGACGACGACGCGTGAGGGAAGAGGACCTGTGAGTTCGCGGGCAGTGAGAGAGAGAGTGAGAAAGAGAGAGCAGTGAGAGATGAAGTGAGAAAGGGAGAATGACAGAAACAGAGAGAAAGTGAGAAAGGGAGAATGACAGAAGCAGAGAGAAAGTGAGAAAGGGAGAATGGCAGAAACAGAGAGAAAGTGAGAGAAACGGAAAGAGAAAGAGAGTGGAAGAAACAGGAAGAGAAACGGAGAGAGAGAGGGGGGAAGAGAAAGAGTAACAGAAGCAGAGAGAGAAGTGAGAACCAGAGAAAGAGAGG